CAGGAGAGACGAGGACGTAGAATACAGAAAGGGGGCAAATCATCCTGAACAAGGAAGAAGGAAGACACCTGCTTCTCAGCCTCCTGGGCGGCTTTCTGGTCATCTTTTCCCCTGTAAATAGCTGTGACGCCTCAGGACTCAGTCCTTCGGCCCTTCCCTCTCCCGATGATCTCATCCAAGACGGCTTTAAATACCATCTGTACTCTGACGATTCCAAGGCTGTCTCCAGCCCAGATCTCTCCCGTGAACCCCAGACTGCCCACTCAACATGTCCACCAGGAGCCTCCACAGACGTCTCTAATTTAACATGAGAAACACCCAACTCCTGCTCTCCTCCCAAACCTGCTCCGCCCACAGCCGGCCCCGTGTCAGGCCGAGGAAGCTTGAGTCATCCTCGAGTCATCTCACACAAGTCTCCCAGCCGTCAGCACGTCCCATCGCCTCCATCCTGGGGAAGCAAAGCGCTCAGCATCCAAGCATCCAGCAGAGCTCCCCACGGTACCCCGCTGGCCAGCCCCCATACCCTCTCGCCTGGGTTATATGTTCACCTCCTGGCTGGTCATCCTGCCCCCACCTTGCCCACCCACAATCCTTCCTCAACACAGCAGTGAGGAGGATCTTTTTCAAATGTTTAAAGCCCAGCACTGCCTCCCATCTCACTCAAGGCAAAAGCCACTATTCTTACAACAAAGCCTCCCAGAGTGTTCATTCTGCGGCCATCTTCGTTGATTTGTGATTGCATTTTATTTGGGGTTGCACACACACACCCACGCCTCATCGCTGTTGGGACCTCACCCTCCTCCTCGGCTGTCTTTCTCCCATGGTGTGCGTCACCGACGTGCAATTTAACTTTCCGTGTCTTACTGTTTTGTCTTCTTCACTGCCTGGGAGTCCCACAAGAGCGGGGATTTTTTATGTTGTGTCCCCGCCACGTCCCTGGTGCCCAGGACACAGCTTGGTATAGGATTGATGCTCAGTGCGTAGTTGTTAAATTCAATTTTCCAAGGTAATTCCGTTTCTTAAAAACCTTCATCGACTCCATGTCCTTCAAAATGAAGTCCCCTCTTTCAGGCACCCAGGGTCCCTTGGGATCTGACCCCTGCCAGCTCTCCAGCTTCTTCTGTCATCACATGACCCCCCGTAGCGGTCAGACAGATTTGCTCACTCCCTCTAGTGTGTCTTTCGCCTCTGTTCTTTGCGCACGTAGCTTCTTCAGCCGAGGATGTGACCCCATGGTCTCCTCTGCTGGGACTCCGTCTGGGGATCATCTACTGGATCATGATCCCAAGGCCAAGGTCATTATCCTCCCACAGTCCACCGGACTCGTGCCTCTCATAGCCTATGACACGTACTATTTTTTTTTTTTTTTTGATACAGAGTTTTGCTCTTGTTGCCCAGGCTGAAGTGCAGTGGTTCAATTTCGGCCCACTGCAACCTCCACCTCCTGGGTTCAAGCAATTCTCCTGCCTCAGCCTGGCAAGTAGCTGGGATTATAGGCACCTGCCACCACGTCTGGCTAACTTTTGTATTTTTGGTAGAGACAGGGTTTCACCATGTTGGCCAGGCTGGTCTTGAACTCCTGACCCAGATGATGCAACCACCTCAGCCTCCCAAAGTGCTGGGACGACAGGACACACACTATTTACCCACCTATCCCTTTACTTGAGAATAGGGGCAGCCAATCTCATGTGGCTGCCTCCAACCCCTAGCTAGAGAGACCCTCTGTGAATGTCAGGTGCTAGTGCTGGTATTCGTTTTGATGATGATGACTGTCTTTGATATATACATATATATATTTTTTTGAGACCGAGTTTCTCTCTTGTCGCCTGGCTGGAGTGCAGTGGTGCAATCTAGGCTTACTGCAACCTCTGGAAGGTGGCGGTTGCAGTGAGCAGAGATCTCACCACTGCACTCCAGCCGGGTGACAGAGCGAGCGAGACTCCGTCTCAATCAATCAATAATTTAAATATATATATATATATTAAATCAATGGCTCTCCCCAGTAGGTACTAAGTGTCTCTACGCAAATCAGCTCACCCTTTCTAATGGACTGATGTACTGACAGACTCGTTCTATGCACCAGAGTAACAGTTGGAGTTCCTCCTTCCATTCAGAGCTGCTCTCCCCTTTCAGAGCCTCTTCTTCAAAACATGAAAAGAAGGAAGCTGCACATGAAGACGGAAGCTGCCAGCAATGAGACGCTCCTGGGGCATTCCTGGGGTCCGCGGGCACCCGGTCCGGGTTCCAGCGCAGGAGACATTCTTTTTTATTACAGTTCAAATTGCCCCACAAATGGATACACCTTAATCCAGATTTATTACAGTCATGAGACTCTTTGATCTAAATGGCTCGGCTGTATTTCTTAAGTAAACTGAGTGAGAATTCGTTTTGCTTAGTCATTAAAAGCCACCTACACTGAAGGTTACGTGTCCACAGGCCAGCGTGTATTCATTCAATAAACTTTTACATTGCTCCCATGCCAGGCCAGGCCCTGTGCTAGCTTTTGGGAGACAGACAGTGACAGGGAAGAGGTCATATCTACCCTCAGAAAAGGCACAGTCCAGCGGTCAGTGCGGGAGTCACCGCAGCTATTTAAACAGTGCAGTCCCTTGTGTTAGTGTTGACTGAATTCAAGGCAGCCGCACTTGAAAGAGGAAATACTCCTTTATACCAGCTACATGCACAGACTTTAGCTAAATGACTCTGTTGAATCCTGACAACGTTACCATATCACAGACGGAGACACTGACGCCCAGTGAGATTCATCACCAGCCCAGGCTACATGCTCTTGTGTGATGAAGCCGAGATTCCAACGAAGGCCTGTTAGTCCCCAAAGGCCATGCCTCTCCCACCACCCTGTAAGCCAAGAGCCTGCCACGGCCATTAAAGGAAGGTCAGTGGACCACAGTGTCGTGGGGATTGAGGGACAGGAGAGATTGATGGGTGAAACACCACCGCCATTAAAAAGGAAGGTCAGCGGACCTCAGAACTGCACAAAGTGGCCAGGTCTAAACAAACTCCACTGGCACCTGTTTACAGCTTTGTGAAAGCCAGCAGCCACCCGGTGAATTAAACACACACACACACACACACACACACACACACACACACACACCCCATTAACTTGTAAAGAAAATTTGACGCAAAGCAACAGTCTACTTAATTACTTCTTGTTAATGTGCCCAGCTGGTCCAAGAACACAGTTATCCCAAGCCCCTCTTGGCTTCCCGTAGAAAGTTGGAGAAGGGTGTTGACCCTTGGGCCACCAGGCAGCAGAGGAAGAAGTGCTGACAGCTGTGTAGATGACGTTTCTCCACTGAACCGTCTGTGAGCTCAGGGAACTCACCTCGGTCCATTTATATCCCCAGCTCCTGGAGAGAACCTGACCCTCACAGAGCAGCTGAGAGCACGGCCTTTAAAAAGGACCTCAAAACCCCAATGCCACCCTGCCAAAGCCTCCTTCCTCCAATCAGCATGACCAAGGCCTCCATGTCCAAGCTCCTCTTTGCAGGAAGCATCTCTCCCGAGGTTCCTCCTTTAGAATCTTTAAATCAGCCACACAGATCCACCGACGGGCATGAGCTAAGAATTCACCCCACCAGGAGCTTCACTCCCAGACTCACAATGGCCTCTCCTAACCAGAGGGTTTCTGACACAGCGGAGATTTAGATGATTCAGATCAAACAAAACGCATTGCACCCCCAGTGTCTGGGAAGCAGACAGGCTGACTTCCAGGACATTCACCCAGAGAAAGTGCCCATCCTTGGCCACGGGATTGCAAAGGGATTTAGCTGCAAATACATGTTCAAGGGAACAGTTCAGGACTCTGCAGGCAATCACTTCGGGGGGAAATCCCTACTCACGTGAGCTGTGTTTTGGCTCAGATCCCTCTCCAGACTTGAACGGGGATGTTAACCACTCAGCATTTTAAAGCCCTTGGACAATTCAGTAAAAGCACTTTCCCTCTCAAGCTCCTCCCCCAGCTGGGGAATTGGAAGTCCTTAGAAGCCCTGCTCCCACACGTCCCTGGGACCCCTGGAGACTCAGGACCCCCGTCACTCAGGACGATGAAAACGCCTCCGTCTACCTGAGTCTGACTTTCAGGGATGTCTGTGAAGTCGTGTCTAGCTGACGGGAAGGAAATCTTTCCTTTGGGTATGACTCGGGAAGAGCATTTCGCCCAGAAGACACCCCGTGGGGGTCAGAGACAAATCAATGACAGATTTGCAGATAGATGTTCCCTGGGCCCAAGTACAATTCACACAAGGCAACATTCAAAAAAGATAAATCTCCTCCTTCTCTCTGCCAGGCTAGAGCAGGTTCCTGAATCAAAACAACTCTGCCACCGAACCTGAGACTCAGCTAGAAGTGAGCTTCCTCAAAAGGTACAAGGGACAGGGTCAGGAATTCCGGAAATCATACAGCAAGCATTTGAAGAAGCAGCTTTCAGAAAGTAAAGAGCGGCGGAGAATGAGGGCAGGGGCGGGGAGGGGGACAGGTGTCGCGGCCAGACCTTCCTCTGGGACGATTTACAGGGAGAAAGTTGTATGGAATGAGTTTTCCAGTAACACAGGAGCGCAGCCACACGGCCATCTTCCCGGCCAGCGGCAGGGCATCCATGTGGTAAGCAAGTCAAGTCAGGGTTATGCCCTTTTCATCATCTCCAAGGGGAAGGGACCCGGCCGGGAGGAAGCAGTTTTGCACGAGCCAGAGCTGAAAGAAGCGTGCTTCCCCGCTCCTGCAAAGCACTTTGACAGCTGGGTGAAGCTAGGGCCAAAACAAACACGCCAGGAGCCACCTCCAGATCTTCCTACCCCTCCCCTTCCTCCGAAACCCAGGAAAACTTGATTCTGTCTCAACTAAACACAAGCTGGGAAACTGGGGAGGAGGAAGAGGGGAAGAGGAAAGCAGAGGGGGAAGGCAGGCAGCATCCATGCAGTCAGTGATAGCACTGACTTAGAGCCACACAAGCTTCACAGTGTCATCGGCAAGGGTCATACCTCCTGCTGATCTCGGGGGCAATTCTCCAAGATCCATGGCTGGGAGTTCAGGAGAATCTCTAAGCCATCAGGAAGGAGCAGAGCACTGCAGCTCCCCAGAATGACGGACCGGGGCGAGCTTTAATTAACAGGGTCTGATGCCTCTTCTTTTTTGGTAACTGAGCAGATTTAAAGGGCTAGAGTCCCAATTTGAAGGGTGCCAGTGCTGCTGCCGTGGCTGCTGCCGTGTCTGCGCTGGCTGCTGCTCCCGCTGCTGGGAAAGCTTCCTGCAGCCGGCTCACTCCGGCAAGGAAATAGGACTGGGAAGGCGGAAAAGTGTGGCCAGAAACACCGGAGCCTCCCGGGCTGCACGGTCTGAATCGGAACCACAGGGCTGTGGACCCAGGCACTGCCTACCCCAGGGAGCACCAGTGTCCTGCTCACTGTCCTCCAGACCGAGGGAAAGAGCTGGGCTCTGTGAAGGCAGGGGACATCAGTGACACCCTCTTCAGACACAGAACTGCACAGGACACAGCCTGGGGAAAGTGGGAAACCTGGTCTATACTGTGTGCTCCTCTCCTGAGAGTATCGCCACTTATGTAAGCTGAATGCACACACACCCGGCCATCCACACACACACGTGCCTGCCCATTATACATACGCACCCGCCCATGTACACACACACACACACATCTGCCCATGCACAAACACACACACACACCTGCCCATGTACACACACACCTGCCATGTACACACCCATGCCTGCCTGTTATACATACACACTGGCCCATGCAAACACACACCTGCTTGTGCACACTCACATGTCTGCCATGCACACACACGCCTGCCATGCACACACCCATGCCTACTTGTTATACATACACACTGGCCCATGCACACACACACACCTGCCCATGTACACACATACCTGCCATGCACACTCACATGCCTGCCATGCACACACACCTGTTCATGTACACACACATGCCTGTCCATGCATATGCATACACATGCCTGCCTATGTACACACATACCACCCATGCAC